CACTGCAATTTGTTCTTTGGTATAAGGAAGTGTACCTTTATAAACTTTCCCGAAACCTCCGGATCCGAGGAGTTGCTTGTCTTTGAAACCTTTGGTTGCTGTATACAGCTTCTTGTAAGAGAATCTATGAGGTCCATACTGCTTTTCCCAGTCTTCAAGCACTTCCGCATATTTCTTCCTCCTGTAAACATATGCTGCTCCAATGATTATAAACAGCAACAAAACAGCTGCAATGATCAAAATCAATCGAACCGTGTTTCTTCGTCCATCTTTTTTTGGAAGCTTTGGAAGCTCGGACATATCAAGGCTTTGTGCTTCTCCACTTCTGTTGAAGCTCCATCCAAGAATATAATGGCTACAGCTATCAAGTGTACCTGTTGCAGCAGAGAAACCAACATACACGGTGCCCATTAGGATATTAGAGACGTCAATTGAAGTCGACAAGAGAGGCTGATTCGGTTTCGGGATGTTCTCTGGTGCCAAAGTTACATTGAGTAGTTCCTTTTTGCCATCATAGTCTATCCACACCTGTATTGGATGTCCATTTTTTAGGTCCAATCTTATATTCTTCCTTTCTTCATTGGAAAAATAAGCTGATGCAATGGATTGGTACGATTTCACGCCATTCAGATCGATTCCTACATGATTGCCATCAATAGTATCTGTGCCAAGACTGAAGATAGTATCAAACTCGACAGCCAAGAAATGGTTGGAGGAATTCCCATCGGTTGAATAATTAACCAGTCCGAGATATTGGATTGGAGCAGCATGACTAAAATCCATTGATTCTGCTATGACAAAGGCAACGCCATGGCCGCTAGCTTCCTCCGTTTCAGGAACGATGGCGATAACGAACCTGGTGGAGAACGAAAGCGATCGAGCTGAACTCGAAGAATTGTTGAAGTTTATTGGAGAAGGGTAGAAAGCATGGCCGGTTTGCATTCTTGAAGTGTTGGTGAGCTGCAATAAACCATTGGAGTGGATTCTGGCACTCTCACCAAGTACCAGATTAGCATGACGGAAGCCATGATTATAAATGAATTGGTCTGGATCTTGAGCCTTTGCCATGGAAACCACAGCCAAGCAAGAAAGAAGCCATAAACGAAACGATGTAAAAGCTGCAGCCATCCTTGAAAGAATGAAAAGTTTCCTCTGTGCTAAGAGAACCTGCACGACATATTTACCTTTTTATATATTTTCATGGGGCTACAACACGCGGTAATGTATCAAACGAAATTTGTCCATAAGAATAAATAGGGTTTAAATATGTAATGACTCACTATACTGTTCTAAAATTTAATTTTCATATTTATTTTTAAAATATTCATCACTCATTTAATTTATGTTTAGTTTTACTATTAATTATTGACCTAACAGTTATAAAAAGATTAAAAAAATTAGTCTCATATATTTACAGTTTTAATCAATCGACTATTAATCTTTAATACCCATCTCGACTACTAATCTTTAAAAATAAATAAAAAAAATGTTATTAATTAAATAATATAATTTCTTAATTATCTACGTTTACAATTACTAAATCAATATTAATCAACGACAAAATCAAATATAAATTGAGACCATGACCAAAAATTTCAAATTAAAATAATAAATGATTTAATTTCATAAAAATAATATATAAGATTTAATTTTTTTAAATAGTAAAAGAATCTTTGACATATTTAAATTATCTGCTTCAATGATGAAACAATGATACAGAGATACCCAAAATCCAACGTCAAAATCAAACACATCCTACCTTCACCGGTATCGTTACAATTTATGGTTTACAAAATTAATTTTCTCCGACTTATATGATCTTTAAATTACCTTATAAAATTATTTTATGAAGAAAGTCAACTCTTTTATTCTCAGCTTAATTACTTGACCAAAAAGTTCCATATTTATTTAATAAACCTTAATTCATTTCGGACTATACACTTAATATTTCTTTCTTCAAGCACTATTCAAATAAATATTAAAAATAATTACAAAAAATAAATAACTTTATAATCTTTAGGTTATTTGATTAGAAACAAATATTAATAATCTATTAAACCAATGACGTCTTCTCGACGTTTATAAAGCTAGGAAGAATTCCAACAACTCGCAAGTACCATTTCCATGCAATTTCTTCAATAGTCGGTGGCGACTGTCATATTTTGGAAGCACATTGCGGCTGTTAGCATGGACTTGGCCTGCTTGCCATTGACTCTTGAAAGTTTCCACCAACTGCGTATGGGGAGTTTGGATTTTTACTTCAATTTCCAATACTTTCGGGGTTTAAAAAGACTAAGAACCAATAATTAGGTATCAGCACAGTAATGAAAATAAAAACCTTGATTTATCTAACATTTAGTTATAGAATTTTCCTTTAGTGATTTGATAAATTACTGAATTTATTACACCATTTATTAAGAGATAATATATATGATTTTATTGGATTCGAAGGTAAGTAGATAAGAGTATAAATGTATACAACGTTTAATGAATTATTCGTAAATTGTTTATATAACTTTCGTTTAATAAATGAATAAATACGAATAGAAGTGTGTATGGTTTGTTTATGTTCATGAATAAATTCGTTTATCGACTTGTTTATAAGCTCATTTATTTTCTCTTTTTTCTTTTATTTTTTTATATTTTAAATATCGATGAAGGCAATGGAAGATCTAGAAATATTTTTTTAGAGTGGACACATATGTATTAATGATATAATTTTTTTTGTACGAGGCAGGCATCGATAAAAATTCAGGGTGGGCATCATTAGGGTTGTAAATGAGACGAGACATATCGCGAGATACTCGAGTTTGACTCAGTCAAAGTTAATTCAACACTCGAATCGAATGAAATCGACTCGAACTTGACTCGAATTCTTAACGAGCTACTTAATACTCGACTCGAAAAGCTCGCGAGCTACTTGAAAAAAATGTTATATTATAGTTTTAGATTTTTTAAATTACATTATTAAAAATATATTAAAAATACATTATTGATAATTATAATTTTTTTTAAATATATTTTTAAATATAATATAAGATTTTTGTATGTTCAAATTCGAGTTTAAGTTCAAGCTTGAATTGAGTTCGAGCTTGAATCGAGCTCGAGTCTTGAGCTTCAATCGAGATCCTGAATTTTTTTTGAGTTCGAGTCGAGTTTCAATATTATATTTCGAGTTCAAGCTGAGCTTGATAATTTTTAGCTCCCGAGTTTTCGAGTCGAGCCTAATTTTAAACTTTTCGAGTTCGAGTCGAGCTCAACGATACTCGAGCTCGACCCTGCTCGTTTACAACCCTAGGCATCATCAGTAAAATGAATAACAAATATAAAGAAATTCGAGGCACATATACAGACATTTGTCATTAGATGAAAGTATTAAATTGAACACATATTAAAGTTTAGAGTTGAAACTATGAAGCCTAAACTGCTTCTAAGTTAGGATCTTGAGCCTTTTTCCATGGAAACCACAGCCAGGCAAGAAAGCATCCATAAACGAAACGCTGTAAAAGCAGTACATCCAAGGAATTTGTCAAGAAGAAAATGTGATCTGTCAATGATATTAAGTTTGAATGATTCAAGATTATCGAAATTACTTTACCTCCAATTCCACTTAACTACTTGGTCAATGAGACTATCAACTTGAGCTTTTTGATTTTTAGATTACTTTATGAAATTATTTTAAGGAGAAAGTCAATCTGTTTATGCAATGTTAAGCTTAATCGCTTGCCCACAAATTAAGCATATGTTAACATATTTCTCAAATGCACGAAGCATGCGATTATTATTATTTTTATTCCCGGTGCAACTTTACGTCAGTCGATTGTAATTAATCTGATTAGATTTTGTATTAATTTTAACTTAGAACAAGCACCTTGCTGATGCAACCAAAAACAATCGTGACTTCGTTTTACATTATTACACAAAGCCGTTGTAATGGCTCCTTTTTATTCCAGATAAAACCAATATTTATTCAAATTTATTATCTTTTAAATCATTAATTAGATTATATGTATAAAAAACAGATTGTGATCAAAGAGTAATGACCTAAGCATGTGTGGGAGAGTTAAGGGCGGCTTGTCTTCACTTCTCTGTTTCTCTTCTGTTTCCAAAGCTCAAGATTAAAAAAATGGAGCATTATATTAAAGTATCTTCACATCTATATCCGAATCCGAATCATTTAATTAAGATTATCACTGGCGAATCCGAGAATGACAAGCTCATTGTCCCTTAATTGATAAAATTATAAAGAGGCCCCTCTAAAAATTATCAACTCATAAATTAATGAATAGAAAAATTATATTTTATCTCCCTTAGAAATAATAAAATGGTGATTTAGTTAATCTAAAAGTTATTAAGTTAGAAGTTAATTTATTAAAAAGTCATTTTGACTCTTATAAAAACTATAATTCAAAATTCGTTTTTCTATTATTATTTATACTTCACCCTTGTTTTACGTGGAAAAAAAATAAATTTAATATATTAACATCATATCTTCATAGAAACTATCTTATATAAAATTATATTTTTCACATGAGTTTGTAGATGAGAGAAACATTAATTTATTTGAATTACAGAGTGATTGATATTTGATGTATTGATAATGTATAATTTTGATGTATTTATACATTAAAAAATCAAATAAGACCCAATTTTATTATAAATTTAGCATTTATTGTTTTAAAAATACTAAAATATTTGTTTTTCATTCCCAGTTCAACTCTCCAAAAAAATCATATCCAAAACCATAGAAGTTATAAAAACATTAACTTTAATAATAATAATTGATATTTTATAAATAGTAAATGTTAATTCAATAAAAAAATTGACTTTATTTTATTTATTTCTACTCGTACAGGGACAGAATTGATCTATTTAATAATGGAGGGATTTAACGTGTACTTCGACAGTCAAGAACCACTTTCAACCTATAAAGATGCTATGCAACCTATAATTGTAGGAACAAATTATAACTATGTAAGAAAACATTTCCATTAGAACATTCAGCAACCCGTATGAAGAATTGAATCTGTACTGGACAAGGAATTCAGAGAAAGACCCTGCCCAACTGAAGAAAACGAAATTATACAATCAGATGCTATGTTATTTGCTGTAGATATGTTAATTTCAGTACTCTGAGATACGTTTTCAAGGATAGAAGATGGTATATTTTGGATAGTGTCAAGTTGTATATCAGGCAAGCTAGCATTGCCTTCGAGATATTGCACCACTTCTTTAATGGTGGGTCTCAAATCTGGTTTTGGGCTGGAACAAAGTAGGCCTAGTTTCAGAACTTTCTCCATCTCCTCCACCACATAATTGCCTTGTAATCTTGGATCAATAGCATCAATAATGGCATCCCTTTTCCAGCACCTTTTGACTGTATCGACTAGAAAAATATCTTCTGGTGGTTTATTAGGATCAAATGGCTTCCTCCCGCAAGCCACCTCTAGCAGAAAAGCCCCAAAAGCAAACATATCGGCAGTTTTGGTGGCCTTTCCGGTTCGGGTGAGTTCCGGATCCAAATATCCTAACGTCCCGACCAGGCGAGTCGTTTGTGGATCGCCATCACGATCATACAATCTGGCAAGACCGAAATCTGCGAGCCGTCCGTTTAGATCAGAATCCAAAAGGACGTTGCTGGCTTTGATGTCTCGATGAAGAACAACCTGTTCCCAGTCTTCATGGAGATAAAGAAGAGCCGATGCCACCCCTTCGATGATTCGAAACCTTTGAAACCAATTAAGGTTCGGTTTGTCATGGTTGAAAAGGAACTTGTCAAGGCTTCCATTTTCCATATGGTCATAGACCAAAAGGAGCTCTTTCTTACGCCTGCAGTACCCGAGAAGCCGCACCAAGTTCTTATGCCTTAGCCTTCCCATGCTAACAATCTCTGAAACAAACTCCTTCATCCCTTGATCTGTTTCATGGGATACTTTCTTCACTGCAATTTGTTCAGTGGAATATGGAAGTGTACCTTTATAAACTTTCCCGAAACCTCCGGACCCTAGGAGTTGCTTGTCTTTGAACCCTTTGGTTGCTATGTACAGTGTCTTGTAAGAGAACCTTTGAGGCCCATATTCCTTCTCCCAGTCTTCTTTTAATTGTTCATATTTCTTCCTCCTGTAAACATATGCTGTTCCAATGATTATTAACAGAAGAAGAACCGCCGCAATGATAAAAATCAATTGAACCGTATTACTTCGTCCACCATTTTTAGGAAGTTTCGGAAGCTCGGATATATCAAGGCTTTGTGCTTCTCCACTTCTATTGAAGCTCCATCCCATAATATAATGGCTACAACTTTGAAGTACTGAACCTGTTGCAGCAGAGAAACCTACATACATGGTATCCATTAGAATTTCGGAGAGGTTGATTGATGTTGAAAAGAGAGGCTGGTTCGGTTTCGGGCTGTTCTCTGGTGCCAAGGTTACATTGAGTAGTTCTTCCTCGCCAACGTATTCTATCCACACCTGTATCGGTTGTCCGCTTTTGAGTTCCAAGCTTATATTCTTCCTTTCTTCATTGGAAAAATAAGCTGATGCAGCGGATTGGTACGATTTCACGCCATTGAGATCGATTCCTACATGACTGTCATCTATTTTATCTGAGGGAAGACTGAAGATGGTATCAAACTCAACAGCAAAGAAATGGTTGGAGGAGTTCCCATTGGTGGACTCATTAACGAGTCCTAGATATTGAGATGCAGCAGCATGCCTGAAATCCGTGGATTCTGCTATGACAAAGGCAATGCCATGGCCACCAGCTTCTTTCGTTTCAGGAACGATGGCTATGACGAAGTTGGTGGAGAACGAAAGAGATGGAGCCGAAGTTGATGAAGAGGAAATGGTGAAGTTCACAGGAGATGGATAGAAAGCATGGCCGATTTGCAGTCTTGAAGTGTTGGTGAGCTGCAACAGACCACTGGAGAAGATTTTGGCACTTCCGTCAAGTTGCAAATTAGCATGACCGAAGCCATGATTATAAATGAATTGGTCAGGATCTTGAGCCTTTGCGATGGGAATCACAGTCAGGCATGAAAACAGCCATAAATGAAGATATGCAAAAACAGCAGCCATTAGGAAAAGCTTCCCCTGCAGACTGCAGTGCCAAGAAAACTTGCGATAACTTGCTGCAATATATCAAATGAATTCGTCAAGAAGGATAATCAGTCAATGGTTTTGAGTGTAAAAGATTCAGTAAACACAATATAAAAAATCTAACCTGCAGGTTATTCAGTAAACACATTTTTGTTTATTCCGTGCATGTATATTTAATATTTTTTCCATATATTTTTAAAACCACACTGAAAATGAATGATATAAAATGTGAATATTTTAAAAAGCTATAAGAGGTTATATAGGATTATCCTATCTTTAATCTTCACAAATTGTTATTAGAAAAATAAAATCTTAATTATTTATCAAATAAATGATGCCGTCTCAATTAGAAAAATTTTAAAGGAAAAAAGTATCAACGGTTGGCAAGTTATATTCGTCACGATTTCCTCAAACGTGACTTTTATCATTATGGAGATTACAGCACATTGCCGTTGCTATAAAACTAGCATACCATGGACTTGGCCTGAAGTTGACTCTCCAAAATTCCAACCAATCCACTTACAGGGAATCTGGACTTTTAGTTTTTACTTTTAAGGGTAAAGTGCACCATTAGTCATTGAATAGTTTTATCACTAAATTTTAAAACTCTTTATTTTCAGTATTTATTTTTAGATTGCGTGTCAATTTTGTCACTAAACTCTAAAATACTTCAAATTTAACATTAAATTTTAATTTATCTCAATCAAGTTATCGGGTCACTAAATTTGAAACAAGACGATGATATGAACAGTAATTTTTGTTATTGTGATAATGTAGAGCTCAAATAATATTATTTAAATTAAATAAAAATTGATGAACGCAACGCGACATATTATCAATCTTCAACTTTTCCGAGTTATTCAACTCCATTTAAGAGGTTCAAGAGGAACAACCTATCTTATAATTAGATAGATCAAACGACTTGAAATAGATCAAAACTTAGAAGAGTGAAAAATTCTAAGAAATGTTTGACACATTTGAAGAGGTTTCGAAGAAAATTAAATCGAATGATCAATAGAGAGAGAATGAGAAGCGTTTTGATATTGTTATTGGTCGAAAATAACATTGTAACAAGACATAGATAAGTCATTTTAGAAAGACGAGCGATTTGGAAGAGTTTGGTGAGAAAAAGTGAACAAAGAGAGAGAGAAAAAAGTGACCGAAGGAGCTGCCAGAATAAGAGCAATAACGGTGGCAATGAACAATAACACGAGGGACTTCAAGAGATAATGGCTATTTTTCTTAGGTAGAATAAATGAAAATGTTTTTTTTTTTTAACTTTTATACCACCATCAATACTACACAGTTTCGAATCTTTCAGTCTTCATTTAGTCACATGTTTCATATTTAATAGTCTAGTGCCAATCATTCTGAAAATTTGATCCAACTGTCAGTATCGGGTCTTGGCGATTTTGTAACAATCTAGTATAGTAACTAGCTAGTAACTACCAAACAACATTTTGAAAAGTGAGGAATTACTGATATTGAAGCTGATTCAAAAGTTCAGTTACTGAAAGATTAACTTGAATTGGAGCAAATTAGTTCTTATATGGAGCATTGGCCAAGAATGTAAGATGTACATGGTTAAACTGACATTGAACTCGTATACTTCGACTAGAATCAGAATATAGCATAACACTGAACGCAAGAAGCTTATAATCTTTCATTACAAAGATGATAGATGATTCGAATTCAACGACCACTGCTGAGTATCGATATAGAGCTAGAAAAGGAATTGGCAGAAACAGAATTTTCTTCATATGATGTAGGGAATGATGCAGCAAAACCTGTAGATGTTACGTTTTCAACTGTCATCATATCAATTCTAACACCATCCGGTGGTATCTCAGGTAAGGTAATATTTCCATCCAAATGTTGTACCATCTGCCTCGTGCTCGGCCTGTTTGCTGCTATGGGGTTCGTACATAGAACGCCTAGTTTCAAAATCAACTCCATTTCTGCTGACACATAATCGCCTTCCAATCTAGGATCAGAAGCATCGAGAATAGCTTCTGCTTTCCATAATTCGCAGACCCACTCGGCCAAAATAATTTGTTCAGGCTCTAGTTGTGGCTCCAGGGGCTTCCTCCCACATGCTAATTCAAGCATAAAGGTGCCAAAGGCAAACACATCAGTGCTGGTAGTGGCCTTCCCGGTTCGAGCTAGCTCTGGTGCAATGTATCCCACAGTCCCAACCACACGAGTAGTTGATGGATTTGAGCCATGATCATATAATTTGGCAAGACCAAAGTCTCCTAACCGTCCATTAAAGTTAGCATCTACCAGAATGTTGCTAGCTTTTACATCTCTGTGAAGAACAACTTGCTCCCACTCTTCATGAAGGTAAAGCAGGGAAGATGCTACTCCTTTAAGAATCCGAAACCGTTGATCCCAACTTAGGTTTGGCATTGAATTGCTGAATAGGAACTTGTCTAGACTTCCATTAGGCATATAGTCATAGACCAAGATAAGTTCTCCTCTTCGCCTGCAGTAGCCAAGGAGCTGCACCAAGTTCCTATGCCTTAACCTTCCCATGCTCACGATTTCGGAAACAAACTCCTTCATTCCTTGTCGCGAATCATGGGAGATTCTCTTGACAGCAACTTGTTCCTTCGAAGAAGGTAACACTCCTCTATAAACCCTTCCGAAACCCCCACTTCCTAGTAGTTCTTTTTCTTTAAAACCTTTTGTTGCTTTATAGAGATCCTTGAAACAAAATCTTTGAGGACCATATTCTTTTTCCCATTCTTCACGTATTTCTTCATATTTCTTCCGTCTTGTAACATAGGCACCACCAAAGATTGTCACAAGCAATGCAACCACTGTTATTAAAGGGATTATAATTCGTAAATTTGAGTCTGACTTCGATTTACTCCGATTAGGAAGTGAAGGGAGCTTTGAGTAGTCTAGGCTTTGTGCTTTCCCAGTTTTATTAAAGCTCCACCCCAGAATATACTGGCTACTAGTCAATTCACCAGTTGATGAAGAGAAGCCAACGTACATAGAATCCAATAAGACAGTAGAAAGATCAACGGACGTCGATAAAAGTGGTCGGCTCGGTTTGTTGCTTCGCATAGGAGCAAGTGTTACATTCAGCAGCTTGTTGTCTTCCTCGTAATCAATCCACAGCTGCATTGGATTTCCAGTTAAGAGGTCCAAGCTTTTACTTTCCCCTCCGTCTGCAAAATATGTTGGCGGAGCTGATACCAAGGATCTCAAGTTGTTTACATCAACGCCAACATGACTGCCACTGATATCTCCGAATTCGGTGGTAGGAACGGCGTCTAACTCTACAGCAAACACATGGTTTGAAGAAAGGCCATTGGTTGAAGAATTAAAAAGTCCCAAGTATTGGGTTGGAGCAGCCCCTGGCAGCTCCATGGTTGGTGAGATAGTGAATGCTATACCATGGCCACCCCTAGGATTGGTCTCTTCGGCTGGAACAATAGCAAACATGAAGTTGGTCGAAAATGAAAGGGAATCAAAGATGTTAGTTGAAGATTTGTTGAACTTGAGAGGAAATGGGAAGAAAGCATGACCAGTTTGTCTCTTTGAAGTGTTGGTTAGCTGTAATAGACCATTGGGTTGAATCTCAGCAATCCCATTTAGATGCAGGTTGGATCCATTAAAGCCATTGAAGATGAACTGGTTTTCCACTTGGGATAACACAAATTGTTCTAAACACATAAGAAATGATACAAGGATAGGGATTGATCGAAGAACTGCAGCTGCAGCCATTGGGCGAAGATAATAAAATAGGAAAAAATCACGACAATATTGTTTATTTATGGTAATCTCGTATATTTCAAAGTATTACAACGAGTCAAAAGCTTTAATGCAAGTGGGACTTTGCAACCTATATAAACAGTCACATTGGCTGCTTTGAAAAATCCAGGAGGCTTTGAAAGATTATCTACAGAAAGAACAGTGCCATTTATCATATGTTTTCTCAGTTAATCAATAATTGAAAGAGAAATATCGAAGTTCTTGATCAGTTGGGATACTGTTAAAAGGTAGAAAATGTCGGTCTCCATTCAAGGGGAAGGTTCTCTGCATTTCTTATGCAACAAAATTTCAGAAAGAACAATATGAAGGAATCAGAGTTGAATATGGAGCCAGGTAAATTATGCTTGTCGACATTGAATTTGATTACTGGCGGCTTGGGAATTTCTCTCTCTATTTTTTCTTGTGGGTAGACTGCTTCAGGATCTAATTACTTATACAATTCAACAGATTAGGTGAGATATCTTGGATACAAACTTTGAAATTAAAAATTAGTACGGTCGTGCTAAATTTGATGATGTCACTGCCGCCAACAGGAACCCTGTTCGTGGAACCACTAGATCTGGACGCAGTGGAGGTACCGATGGATCTGGTGGGTATGGAGGTGGTGGCGTTGGTTACGATAATAGAGGAAGAAGAAGAGGTTATGGTGGAGGGGGTGGCAGACGGCGACAGTGATCTACCCAGTAGCCTCCTCCGAAAGAGGTTTCGAGTGAACGCCTGCGAGTTATCCAACCACATCACCGAAAAATTGGTTCAGTTGAATCGGAAGGATGAGTGAAACTATGGAATCTGATTCGATCAGCAACACTTCTCCATCAAATTATAAGCTTTGTTGCAAAATAAGATTTTGCTTCTCTCAAATTTTGGAAATGGAAGAACCTATGCATATCTTTAAGATTGAGATCCAGACGTTTTTTCCCGAAATATCACCGGTGATCAGTATATTTATTGATATAACATCAGTTAAATTATATTTTTTGATCTAACACCTGTAGTAGTAAAGCGTATCCTTTGACCCGCGCTATATGTGGATTTGGCGTCACGTGGGGTATATCATGCCCCATGCATCGCGCTATACGCTGATTGGGTTACACGTGGTTATAGCGCGCCCCTGTTCCGCGTTATACCTATTTATCTGACACGTGTGGTATAATGCGGTGCAAGGGGCGCGCTATAGCTTTAATTACCCGGCC